GCCATTACGACCGATTTTGGATATGCGCAACTCACCATATCATGCCTTGGCAAAGTGGTTCGCGAGTGATTATCGAGGCAGGTTCGCTGTCGGATGTTGGCTACGGCACAAGCGGTCGGCATTCGTCTGCACAAACCCCATCTGTGTGCCCAGAAACAATTTGTGCAAGGGCACTAACAAACTGTCATCACCGGATATATCAATCGTACCAGTGATACATTCGTACTTGACAGCAGAGCGCTTGTCATCAGGAGGAACAAAGAGCTCTGGTTCCCTCCACCCTTCCTCTTACTTCTTTCCAAATGACGACTTGATTACAAATGCACCGTTCGGCACGCCACTAACTTATGTTGTCTCTGCGCGCTGGTAGATGAATGTCAGTTCCTCAAGCAAATACCGGGGCTCAGCTCCTTGCATTTAAATTATTTCGAATGGTAACAGAATGAATTGATGCGCAAGTTCGTTCGTTCTGACGACAGATTAACAAATGAAAACCGGAACACTGCTGCAAATGTGAAATACTATGTGTGTACATATATGCTTGAGTTTAGTTGTATTCTAAATGATACAATCATATAGAGTTTATATTGAAGTCATCTAATCAAATATATTCGAGTTTATTTACAGTAGACCGATTTACCCTGCCCTTTGTTCATTACCTAATTTCGGTAGCGGTTTGGTCATTCATACTTCAATTTTTGTTCCCTCTATGATGCATTGATTTAGATACATTGCGAGTTAGTGGGTCAGAATAACCGGTAAATAAACATTTTGTTATAGTCACATGACACTGACGATCTGACAACCTAACGAAATTTATGCCAAGTTCAACGCTTGAACCGAAGGAATAAAGGAAACCCTTCCTGATTATTAAAATTTGCTTCTCAAACTACTTCTACAACTATTTCTTCACCTACGTCGGAACTTCCCTCAGAGAATAACGCTTATCACTTACTTGTTCTCTTTGCCGATTAACTTATTTAATTTGTGAGCTTTACAAGACCATCTTAAGGGCGAGTAATAATCACGTTTTTCATAAGCTTTCAGGGAATAGACTAACCATATGGTTATGAAATAAATGGATTTCTGACGTCACACATGTCTGATTCGGTATCCACATTTGCAGTTCGGTGTTTCAATCCAGGTGTCACTGAGTGATATGTGCGAGCAGCGGAGGTAGTTTATGGCCTTTATGACGCTATCTCTAGTGCGTCTCATACAAATGAGTGAATTTTGAAAGATGCATGACGATCTCGTCATCCTCATGTCAATTTATTTTGATATAAACTGATGTGCGTGATGGAAGACTTCCAGCTGCGAGCGGGCGCTACACGCAACAAACGGTGTTACTGCTACTGGACGTACCACTCAGCAAACCGCACCGAAAATTGGCTTCCCATGTGAAAACTTGTCTGTCGTGTAGGCGGAGTGCAATCAGTCTCATTGTGCAATCAATATTTGCGGAAACAATAACTCATTGAAGCTACTGAAAAAAGTATAAGGGGTATTTTGTCAGCTCCAAAAGTAGTAAAATATTAGAAAATTAATTTTGCTTTCCATCACATGATTTTCCTCAAACAGTATATTATATCTCGCATGCACTGTCAAAAAGATACATACAGACTGAAGACCAAATCACCGTGTCACTCATTTAAAAATAGTGGAAACTACGAATTATTATTTCGCATTCTGAACTGCATTCATTATTGGCTGACTATGTCACTTGATTGACATGAACAAGTAGCAGCCAATACATCAGTTGCATTTTTCTTCTTTTCAGTTTAACTTGATTAGTAAAAGCGTTCCATTGATGATGTATTGTGCTCTAGCATACATTCATTCAATGCATAGTAGAAGAAAGGGAATATTCCGTACGTATTCAGGCGAATGGGCGCCCAACATGCATGCACAGGTAGTTCTGGTATTCACCCGGATGAAAATGGAGGTAATTAACCCCATTTATTCCAATCAGCTCATTGCCAAACGAACAGTGCCTTCCCAAATGTACAAAATGAGGTATTTCAAAAAAGAAAAACTGTAACACGCGGATGGACACAGTTTTTTGACTGTATGCGTTTGAACATAGGATCGGAGTTTCTATTGAATGAAAATTACCATACTCCTGATGAAGTTGAAACTGATAATCGTTTACCTGGAAGAGCTTAGATATGGAACTTTACCAGCTTGTTGTGAATAATGTCAATATGTAGTGCGCAATGAGAGAAACGACTCCGGCTACTTTAGCCTATTTAATCAATATTAGTCCTGGGTGATTTTAAAGAGAGGACTGTCATTTCACATGAACTGCTAAGTAATAAAAACTGGAACCTTTGACAAACTGCACAATGCAGGTTTCCCGAGTAGCAACCAAAAGAGATCGAAAGTGCTGCATGCTTGTGAGAAGGTTGTTCCGCGTGGTTCATTTTGAACTAGCTTGGAACGACTTTATCATCCACACGGATACCGCAGCAACTGTGTCTGCGGAGCTCCCAAAGGAGCATGGTAACTGTTTTTCATTCATATATATATATAATTTGAAGATGAGCACTTATGGTTTTGGGCTTCACACTTCACTTGCAGTCTACTAAAGTTAGTCGCAACCATTTTTTCAGCCCCCATCTTTGTATAATATAGAGTCGGACTGACTTTAAGCGAAGTTCATCTATGCACCAAAACAGACGTCTTTTAAGATTAACTCATATCTTACCAGTTTTTATAGAATCAAGAGGACTTCCGGGTTCATAGGACAATAAGATGGCTACCCGGTTTATTTTCAACTCATTCATTCAATGAATACGAACAAAGAAATCAGCTGATTTGGGGAATACCGTATCACGTGTTAGAACACAAATGGTTCTAGCAAATAGAAACGTAGTCTTTACGTGTTGTGATTGCCAAAACAATTCAATACAGATGCTGAAATGTTATCTTTCTATGCACGCACGCACGCACACACACACGCACATGACCAGTAAGTATATCCAATCCAGACAAATTTTGACAAATCCGTTTCACTTCTGTCACGTACCATTTGATACCGCTTTCAACACATTGTCTCATACTGTTTTTCAACAGCTGTAAAACAAACCAATGTAAATGCATATCCACGTGTGTCATTATCCGTGCGTGTATCGCGCGCCACATACATATCTGTCGTAACAACCATCTTACAGTCTGACGGTTTGGTTGCATGTGTTGAAAATTGACGCACTCGACGGTGATGTCCTCCGATGTACCCATTGTGCTGGACAATGGTACTGGGACAATCAAAGCCGGCCTAGCCAGTGAATGTGTGCCTCGGGCTTGTGTGCCAAATATCATCGGTCGACCGCGTTATTTCAATATGTTAACTCAACATCAGTTATTAGATCCCATATTTCTGGGCTCGGAAGCCTTACAAAAACGTGGTGGTATGACTTTGTCCAGCCCAATGTTTAGCAGTCTGGTGTTTGATTGGGACAGTCTCATTTGTCTGTGGGATTACATATTTAAACAGGAATTGCAAGTAGACATTGAATCACGACCGCTACTGATCACGGAAACCCTATTCAATCCGAAACGGGACAAAGAAACAATGGCTAGTATCCTGTTTGAGCAATTTAATGTTCCGGCTCTCTATGTGGCTTATCAACCGATCCTAGCATTATACGCGTCTGCACGAACCACGGGTATTGTGGTGGACTGTGGAGAAGGATCCACTTGTGTAACTCCAATCTATGACACATACTATGTGCAAAAAGCAGCATATCGACAAAATGTGGCTGGAAACGCGGTTACGGAATATCTGAAGCGCCTACTTCCGGATATCGGGTGTCGATTGTTCACCTCGGCTGAGCATCAGATTGTCCGGGATATCAAAGAAAAATTGTGTTATGTTTGTGAAAACTACGAAGAGGAATTGTATAGTGCGCATAATAGTGGAAATCTGGCTGCATCCTATCAGTTACCCGATGGTCAGAAAATCACTCTAACTACTGAACGATTTCGCGCCCCTGAACTGCTTTTCTCCAGTGCAATGAACGGCTACGAATGTTCGGGAATCCATCAGGCAGTTTGGGATAGCATACAGAATTGCACACCATCTATTCGTCGAGATATGCTCGGGAATATTCTTCTGACTGGTGGAAGTACCATGTTTCGCGGTTTCATGGAGCGTTT